CCTCTTCTTTCAAGGATAGTAAGAACTTGGATTGTAACTTGACTTTTATTCTTTTTCAAGAATGCCTCCCTTTTCAGGGTCAGTCGCCGGTTTTCCGGTAGCTTCCCCGACGGGGAATGTAGGACTTTGAATGGGGAATAACGTTTCCCACAGACGGCGCCAAACTGTTGACCTCTAAAAATGGCTCTTCCACGTGGCCAACTTGTAGCTACTCCACGTATTCCTCCCTACGAAATGAACACACTGTCAGGCACACACGGCCGGAACCAACGGTGGTGGCGGCCGTATACACTCCGACGGTCAAGTCAGATTTGGGTGGTCGGAGCAGTGTCCAGGGACTACACAAATCAATCAGTCAATAAAGGGGGAGGAGAATATATAAACTTGTTATGGAGTGCTATCTATTGAGAGTTTCATTACCTTTGCCTCTGGCCAATCTTTGGGTATTTATCGATGGTATGAACCGTGGGATGTGGAACACGTGTATACATCTGACGGTATGAAGTGTCTGCTCATAGACATCAATCAGCCGCGCTTGTAGAGTGGGCGGACAGTTTGTTTCCCCCGAATTGAATTGACATAAAGTTGATAAGTCACATCAAATAGCTTTATGGGGGACGTCAAATCAATTTAAACCTTATATGCAGAGCAAATCTTAAATTGGCAGTGAATCTTCTAACGGGGGTTCAAGCCACTTGGACCCGACCTCGAAGACGGGACGTCAGTGACAGGAATCGGTGTATCACTTCGGGGGGGGAGGCTTCGGGATTTCGGAGTGGTCTAGTTGATTTCACCGGATTCGGAGTGGCGAGATGACACTTCGGTACGTCGGTACCGAGGCTAGTAAAATGAGGCGTAAAATGAGACGTAACACCAGTTGTTCTTCTCCTTCGGCCTAGTAGGGCCTTCCTCCCCATGCCACTCCAGGTAACTAGCTAAAAATGTTCCTAAATGAATATCGAAGCGCCAAAGGCAGGAAACTGATGATTTTATCCAGTTCAGTTCTTGAATCATAAAAAACTTATGGGCACCACTCTCTCATATACTGTAACCAACATGGTTCATTAATGATTCCATCTCCAGGATATTCAGCTGCAATAATCTCAAATTGTGTGCTTGAATCCACATAATAGTTACTACGAGCAGCATCATTCCTCACTCCAATCTCAAACTTAGAGGAACCCTGAATATAATATCCGGGATGTGGACAGCTAGCATGACTACTTTTTGATGAATAAATGATGGCTTTTTTTCCACCGATGAACTCCAAATCAAAAGCTTCTACCCATATACCGCCACTGTGCTATGAAAAATATATATGCACCAGAGCTCCCCTGTGAAGTTGCTTATACGAAGTGTAAAATGTTCCCAATCACTCACATATTGACCAATCTTGCTAAGAGCAATGTTCATAGATCCTACTTTCAGAGTGCCTGGCCCATTAAGGGGGCAGAAAACCCACATCACAACATCAGTGAAAGACGCCTGATGCCTTTTTTACATATTTGTGCAGTTTGGCACTTTCTAAGTTCCCATGTTTAATGCTCTCCTTGTGACCATCAGTTGGCAAATCTATCCAATACTCCCCGTCATTTGTCCCTCCCCTAGGCAGATTAGAACCTTCGCTATCAATGGCCACGCCGAATGAATAACCATTTCTGTACTCTAATGTCCCATTTTTGAAGAAACACGAAACAGAAGATGGCAAATAGGCCTCATCAGGATGGAAGAAAACAATAGGTCCGTAGTGCCTGATTAGTGCACAAATTTGATCAAGATTCGGCATTGCATGTAATGTATTATCTAAGTTCTTCAAGCATGCAATATCCAGCTCTTCTCCTGGGATCCAGTGGCCACTACAAAAGAAACTACCTACTAAGACACCTCTACCATGCATTCCTCGATGTAGAGGTCTTGTACTCCAAACTCTGAATGGTACTTTTTAAAACGTAGAGTGGGTGCTGACTGTCAGACTATAAGCTTCACNCTTTAGCCAAGCAGCGTGCCTATTGTTTGAGCACCAGTCTAACGCTAGATGAGTGATAGATGTTCTCTTTCTACCACTCGAGCACCAGGTGGGCAGCATGGTAGTAGAATTGAGTCCTTCTCGATATCAACTTCTTTGAGTCCATATCTTGATCTTCTCGTATTTCTTTGACTTTTTTTTGGACTCTATCAACACCAAACAATACTTACCATAACTTCAACTATTCTAAACCTATTTTTACTTTGATTACAATATAATATCATCCTAATACAACTATAATAAATTGTGATTTTTGTCTTAGAAAATTGCCAATTAATATCTATAGTGGCACTGACTTGATCAACTGTTTTACTTCTGAAAAGGGATTTAGAAGTTCCACTAACAATGAAAATAGATGAGGTTAATTAGTTCTGAGAATTAATCCAACCAATCAAAGGCCTATACTCCATTTTAATGCATATGTCTCTGTCCATGCAACAACCTCAAAACAATACAGCAGACTTTGTGCTGGTCTCACTTGCCCATCAGTGCCGGTCCTGTAATTTGGGGGGCCTGATGTGAACTTCATAAAGTAGGCCCCAAAAAAAATAAATTGTATTATGCATTCAAAATTTGTGTATTATGGTACTAACTCTGAATTTGTTAACTTAATAATTAATTGTAAAACAAAATTTTTTTCTTATTTTTTAACCATACATTATCTGAAATCTACTATTCCAAAATGCATTGTACACCAAAATTAGGGCTCAAACAAGCTCATTCTAAAAATTATTTTTATAATCAAATAACAATGCAAAAAAATTTGCAAACGATCAAGTAAATACTATGAATTATGTAGATTTTGGATCCTGCCCCCATGAAAAATCATTCTATTAGTCTCCATTTTATTTCTCGTCTTGCAAGTTAGTCACTAAACTTCAAAAATGAGCAAATGGATATCATCACCATTTCATTGTTATTACAATTTACACTTTTTAACTTCTTATGGACATAAAATTGTCCATTAAAACCCAATATATAAATACAGGATAGCTGAATATTGGACTATTCACATTGTATGGAGGCAAAAACTAAAAGAAAAACGAAAGAATCATCAAACAAATAGGTAAAGAAACTTCCCATTTACAGTTAAAACAAGAAATTCAATGGGGTTGACCGATGCCATGCTGCCCATCACCGTCAGATAGTGTTAAGACATTTATACTTTGTAATATTCTTAATTTATGCAGCTCAAATTGTTGATGGAGAAGTTATTCCTCAAAAATGTGGCCATATTGCACGGTTGACTATCTCAAAGTTCGTCTACGGTCGAACTATCCCCCACATAAATAAAAAATAAAAAATTAGTTTAACCAAGTAGATCTACAGTAGTGACGAAGGTTAAAGAATCCATCAGTTCTTCCAATTGGTTTATAGAAACAAATGCCCCTTATCCCATCCTGAGACATATAGCATCCCCATATAAACTCAAACTTAGTTACTTCGCAAACCTCTAATTATCCTAATCCGATTTTCTAGCTACCAAATCGTGAACCTGCATATTCAAGCATTGGTTACCACAAAGGAACAAGCAGAAGTTTGACTGTATAAGCCATTCAAATAACCATAAATTTGACAACTTTGCAAGTCCTTCAATGTATGAAACATACTACAATGAAATGTAATGCAGATCAATGATCATGAAACAAACCTCAAGCTTAACTATGCAAACAACATGCACGATGATTTCAACAGGTGCAAGAACTGAAAGAAGCATTTCCAAATTGTGTTCTCACACCCAGCCCCACTATTAGTATTTCATTTCTGTAGCAAATACAGTCCTTGTGATTACGAAAAGCTTGAAAACAAAGTTAAAAATAAAGGATAAGAATGAAAATAGAATGCCTGAGAACACATAAAAATTTGAAATAAAACTCTGAAATATACAATATGCTCATGAATACAACTGAGACAAGTAGGACACTACTGTTTTTTTCTTTCTTTTCTTTGTGTCATTCATGACCAATTGATCATTGACCACACAATTGAGTTCAAGGTGGCCAAGAATTGGGAGTTTCTTCCTTATAATCATTGTTACTGTAAAGTTGGACAGCATAAATATTATTTTAGCAGGATAATACCCATTTTCAGACATGATTAATCTCTGCAGATCAAATTCTCTCAATCTGAGTGGATCAAATCCCCTCAACTAATAACCAGAACTAAGATTCATTACTTGCATGTATAAATAATTTTGTGATTACCTTGAGGCAATTGAGGAATCGGGGAGGGAAAGAGAGTTTCGGGCTCACGCTGCCATACATCGGTCACTCTGCTCCAACAAAAGCATTTGCACTCCAACATTTTAATTCGTACCCACCAAAACAATCTATTTTTGATGAAAATTGAAATTCACTTTCTCAATTGATTGCTGCTGCTCAGGATTTTGATCGTACAGTGGCAAATTCTTTCCCATTTTTTCTCAATTTCCAACATGTTACTCCTAAATAGAAATGCTCACACGAGTCCCAATTTTCTCATTTATAAATCTCTTGATAATTAACATTCAGCAGAGTTTTTTGTCACTGCATTATTTATAATTTTTTTATACTTTAATTTTCATACAAAGTTATTGACCCCGTTTGGTAGGGATTTTGAGAATTGATTTTTTGATGTGGGGTCCACACGTGAGAAAAGAAGTCAAAAATTACGGTTTGAATAGTAAAATAACGGTCAAAAAATCAATTTTTTGAGGCAAAAAATCCCTACCAAACGGGGCCATATATTTTATTTTAGTATGAATTTATATATTCTTCGCTTCAAAAAAATAAATAAATCACCCCAACTTAAAATGAATAAGAAAATAATTTTTAGCAACAAATAAACTAATATCATAAAAATTTTAATTGGTAGCTTTTAATTCTTATTGGTTGTACACAAATTATTAATTGGAAGATAGCGATTAAGAATTTTTATTTATTTTTCTAATGTTGGAAGTGTCAAATGAAGTACTTTCTATAAGGAAAAAACATTTTCAATTAAAAATCAATAATAGAAAATAGTATGTAAAACATTCCATTCAATAAAACCCTTAGCTCTTGTTTGACCCCTATTATATGGCGATTATAATTTTTGAAATAGAGTTTTTCTTAAAAATGTGTAGTTGAAAAAGATTTAATTTTTTATTTACATGTAATATTTTTTTATGGAAGATTGTGTGGTAGAAAATAAAAGGAAAAAAGAATAAATTTTTTGGAGAGATCAATTTAGAGTAAAAGTGCAAATTTCTCCTTTTGGCGTTACGTTACCGTACTTGTGGGGGAATGAATCGTCATCTACGGTAGTGATTTTCCCTGTTATAGTTCGTCAGCAATTTTAATGGCTAGGATTGCACTAAAATTAAGTGCAGTATGTGGTAACGAATTTGGCAAATGAATTAAAAACTCTGGGATTCGACATCGGTTTCACTTGCATAGATGGAGCAATTTTAAGATTTTCTAACTGTACGAAAGAATAAAGCCAAAATTAAGTTATTCCTATTAATTTTAGAAGTAATTTTATAGACTCTATTTTCATTTTTGTGGAAAATTAGAGAAAATCGAGTCCGAATAATATTTTTTTGATTATTCTTGTACACTTTATTTTTTTAAGTCTCACTAGAAAAAAATAAGATGCCCCAACTTTATATTTTACCGCATTTTCAATTATTGAGTTATTTATTTTACTAGTAAATAATATTATTAAATATTTTCTAAGTCCGTGCATATTGATTTTAAATTGGAAAAAATTACTAACATACAAATTAAAAGCATAGTCCATAACTAGAAAATAATTAATTTAATTAATTAAAGTTAAAATTGATGTATTTTAATTATAAATAATTGAAAAGTTTAAAAAGAAAAATTCAAAGAGTCCACCGCTTCGCTACTTCTCAAAGTCTGCCATAAAAAGATAAAGATTGTTCCATCAGAAGAATTTAAATTCAATTTCAGAAGTCCAAAGCACTACTAAAAAATTATCCAATTTCTTGATGACATACAACTTTTTAACTCTTCAGAAGTCCAACCAAAAGGGCCTATGCCTCAAATCCTACAGGCTGCCTCGATGCCATGTCATGTCATCACCTAAAAGAAATAACGTGTAGACTAACACTTTCACACTGGTAACACAAATATTTAAGATAAATCTGAAAAAGGAAAACTAAGAAAACAGTTGTGTATGAATCAAGTTGGCTACAGAAATAACAGATTACTACAATCACATTACTAAGTGCTCGACAACATAGCAATCCATCCATGTTCACAGTATTGGAGTCGCTTATACTGGACAGAGAGATTAAAGTACACACAAGCAAAATTGATTAGGAGTATTTGCCTGCTCAATAGAAACTGCTGTAATATGTAGCAGGTGGAACTGCAGAAGGTGGTGGTGGTGGTGCTGGAGTTGCAGCTGCTGCAGGTTGTGTTATTCCACCCCCCCCCCCCCCAAAAAATAATAATAATAAAATGATATTTATAATAACTAAGAGGCGAAAATATAGAAGAACAAAAACTACTTGGCAAAGATTTGTGATATAAGTGGGCTTTGATTAGCAACCCACAAAAAAGAAAAAAAAAGGAGAGAGAGAAAGAGAGAGAGAGAGAGAGAGAGAGAGAGAGAAGTGGAAATCATCCATAGTCAGATATGAAACTTGTTAAAAATATCGTAATTACTTGATAACTTCAGATTTAGAGTATTGCCCAAAACAGAGGAGGGTAGTTACAGTTCCTCAATTGCACGAATTTGAACATTTTTCTTCTACCTTAGCCAAAAGAATTAATCTTAATCTAGAAAACTGAAAACCAACAGATAGTAGCACTGGTTCACAATAATTTACAAGAAGCTTGATCAAATTGAGTATGAAATGATATCCAACAAAGGAACTATCCATTTGCCAAGCTACGATTCAGAGAATGGTTTTAAGGTACCTGGGTTGAATAAGATGGAGGATAGGTTCCATAAGCAGCACTTTGAGGCACTGATGTAGGTACTTGTTGATGAGTATAATTTGTTCCATAACTACCGTATGAGCCATATGCAGCCTAAAGAATCAAAAACAAAAGAACATAGTTTTGCATTTCAGGACAAGCAAGACTAATATAAAAGATTACATACAGGACTGTCAAAAACAACTAAACTTTCTAACCAAACCGAACCGAATCGAATTCAAATCGCTTTTTTGAAATAGTTGGTTTGGGTCTACGTGAATCCGTCAAAGTTTTGGTTTTGAACCGAGCCAAACTGCTTCGAAGGGTTTGGTTTAGGTTTCAATCTTTACAAACTATTTCAAACTGCCAAACTGTTTAAAAAAGAATCTGAAAAAAAATTATGTAAATTTTATCCAACCCAATTAAAACTAAATACATCTGAGTAAAAACTTAACACTAAAGTGATTCATCAATATTTGAATGATTCACAAAAAGTTATATAAGGTGTTATTGTATTTGATATTTCTATTTATTTTCTTTTATTAGTTGTTTTATATCACTTAATTATAATCAATGAATTCATGTACTATATTGTTATAGTTGTGGAGAGAATGAATCACGTGTTATAAGTATAAAGTTTGCACCAATTAGGATAGACTAAGAAGTTAAGATATTTCCATCATGTTATTGCATTATGATGATTATAATTATAGAATTTTGATTTGTAATATTTTTGATGTTATTATTTATGTTTTAGATTAATATTTATGATTTAATTTATTTGATATATGTTTTTTTTTTTTAATTTATTAAACAGTGGTCTTAAACTGAACTAAATAGAAAAAAGTGATTTGGATTCGTTTGATATAGAAATTGATGTGGTTTTGTTTGAAAATGTCACAAACCGTCCAAACCTAACAGTGAAAAAACCTCATACACACAAAACCAGTAATGCACGTGTAGTGTGAAATCAATTCAGTTAGATAGCAATCGATTCACCAGGTACGTGACTATGCACACAAAAACAATAGAAAACGAAACAAAAAGCCAAAACAACATTTAAAATGCAGATGTACTAAGTTCTAATGTGCAAAAGGTAAATCATATTTATCAAACTTACTAACAATTGCACAACATACTCTCAAATTAAATCTAGATCATGCTTTCAGGGCACACTCCGATGAAGTTTAGAGATGACTCCAACCGATTTTCATATTTATATCAACTCCATTAAATTTTTTAAGGTTTACCAACAGCCAGTTCCTGGTGGCATCAAAATTCCAATAATTGCAAGTACCTGTTGGGTATAACCAGGGTTCCACTGTGGTACTTGAGCTTGAGCAGCTTGAGGCCAAGCTTGAGGCTGTACACCATAACCTGCCGGCCATTGATTTTGCGTGTTGGGAAATGCACCCACAACAGAAGGGTTGGATGATGGAGTAACTGATTTTGCAAGCTTAGCTTTGTCTGAAATTAAGTAATCTTCTGCATGGCGCTTCTTCGACTCTGACGTGCTCCTGTGCCGCAAGAAGAGTTTAGCGTGTCGATCATCAGCCTTCTTTACAGACTGTGCATCTCCAAAGAGATCCAAAAACTGCAAAAACCATTTGGATGCAAAGTAAGTTAAACCATAGTTGGGTGGAATAAGGGTTTACAAATTCAATAATAACAATTCAATAAGGAAGAAAATTCAGAAACAATTATTAAACCTCAGGAGCAAGAAGTTTGCATCAAATTGTTACAGCATATCATTTCTCGCAAACATGAAAACTGAGAGTACATTTGGAAAGTATCCAAACCATGCAGCAATTTGCACCACATTAGCACAAGGAAGTGCGCAAGGGCGGAACCTACATACTTATAGGATTTGATGTGCATTCAAAGAGACATTAATGATTATTTCAACGGTGTCTATTGGAGGAAGCATATAACTAGGTTTCAGTAACCACTCTTTGATAGTGGTTTTCAAGAAATTTGTTAGTTCCAACAAGCATTGTACACGGAGATAATTAATCTGAAACAATTCATTACCTCCAAGAAAATGCTTGACAGCTCCTCTCTTTCAGCAGTACTTGAAACATTAGGGCTGTCAGGATTCGAAACAACGAACTTATCAACCAGTGAATCCAAATAATCAAGTCGCTTTGGAAGCGGCTGTATTGACTCCAAGTGAATCAATGCCTGCAACAATATAAAATTCACAGAATAAATAAACTTCAAAGTGGAAATACCAAATGAAAGTAAGATAAACACGTTTCCTGTGTTGAGTGTACACGGGGCATCTTTATAATGAAAATAAGCATGAGTCTATTTAACTATTTTTGTCAAGGGGGAAAGAAAGGAGAAAGAGAGAACCTCCAAAAGTGGTTTTGACAACTGGATATTCTCAACAGCTTGATCAAGAATTTCCCTAGCCTTTTCCACCTTGCCAGAAACCTTTCAACAAGATGCAAACATATAACAAGATGCCACACAGACAACACAAATACAAATCCTCGTATGCCCATGAGGAATCTATTTAAGGATGAGGTGAGTGCTTACAAATGTTCAAGAATGAAAATAACAATTAATATAAGAAAAGAAGGCAAGGAACAAATTCAAATTTGCGGGTTCTCCAGAGGATACCAATTTTTAACCCAATGCAGGTGACTACATATGTTCATTTCAAAATTTCAGGGAACAGTCATTCCATGTCTAACCGAGTTGCTCAAAAGCATGCAAACTAGATTTCCCAGTCAACAGTTCAAACGACCAACCCCTCCCATGCAAAGACTAGGCCCATGTTTGAGCCACATTCTAGGAAAAAAAGCATTATTTATGTCAAATCAATGAGAAATGTGTGGTTAAAAAATAAGGAAAAGTTCTAGATTTGGATGTAATATTATTTTATTGAATAATGTATGATTGAAATGATGTCAAATCACTGTTAAAAAATGTATTTTTCCCCACTTGGTCCAATTAAAAAAATTTTAGGGTAATTTTCCCCTTTTTTTTTTGTAAAAACAGATTTTTAATGAGTAAATTTTATTTTTTTCACATATTAGCCCGGCTTGAAATTTTTTTAGCCTGGTCTTGAATTCAAACCTGGATCCGTCCCTGTTTTTAATTGATGAGAAACATAAATTTATTAATCATGATACAAAAATACATACGGCAAGAGACATTTAAGAAAACAAGTTTAAAAATATAATCAAGAATACAACACATCACTCGGGATGAATGAAGAACAAAAAGATAGATATATAAAACCTACCAAGTAAAGGAAGCGTGAATACTGGGCAAACAACAAAGGTAAAGTCTGTGAATGTTCCTTCCCTTTCTCAATTGCGATGGACTGCTCATATAAAGAGCACGCATCTTCCAGATTCCCCTGCAAGATACAAGAAAACAACTAATTATAGTATTATACATAATAACAAATTAGTAGGACACCTTCATAGTTTTCTCATTCAACCCTTACAAGTCGATGTTCCATGTTCGCATGTCTGACGATGGCTTCCAAAAGTCCAGGCGAAATTTCTGTGTGAACAAGTTGATAAGCTGCTCTAGCTCCGGAAATGTCACCATGTTGCTCTCTGAATCGAGCAGCAAAAAGATGGATTTCTGGTTGTCTCTGTACACACAGATTATAATTAAAGACAAGCATACTACATATCAAGAGAAATTCGTTCAGCCAATGGATCCTAATTTGATGGTGTATCAAAATTAGCAATAGAATCAGTATCAAATATGAGCATTAAAGGTTCCAAGTCTAAAGCCGAAGATATAACCGTAAAAGCATGCATCTAATTTGGAAAGTAGAACCACTACAATACAATTTTCAATTTTGATTATAATCATTTCACTACGATTTATATCTGATATTAATAAATAGGAATGGTGCAAGCCCAAAAATAAATCAGCAACAAAATAAAGAACGTGGACCAACTTAATTCCATTTGCTATCATAGTTCAAGCAATACAGCATATAAAAGAAGCTAAGAGAATTTTTTGGTAAAAGAAGGCGAACTCTGCAATCCATATGGGGTCACTCTGCAATCCATATGGGGTCATGCTACTATACAAACAGATAATATTTTCTAATGGATAATGTGAGCTACAGTTCCAACTTCTTCCCCCACGTTAACTGCAAGCATTCTCACGTGATCAGATATTCATTTCTGTTTGAAATTTATTTCTTTTTTACATCTGAATCAAGCATTCAGATCTTTCAGCCAACCTGCTTGCAGTACACTTGGCCTTGTCAAAAATCCCTTTTGCTAAACCCATCATCTACCAGGAGTACATTCACGAGAGAGAATTGTTTTAACAGTAAGAGTTATTTATGCCGTTAGTCACGAAAAATGAAGGGAAAGAGTAAAATTAGAAAATAAATGTGGTGTGTGGTCTGAGCACATGAATATATTGTGCAATAAGATTTTCATTAGCTAAGTTGCATAACATAAGCAAGAGAAGATTTTTCTTGATTGCAATTAGCAGCATAACATATATACGAGGCATGGAGACCTTCACAAAAACAGAACACCTGAATCAAAATACTTTTTAAGTTGAAAATGCAACATAAGAAAGTCGTGATATAACCAGTCAATTGTCCCAACAAATTGACAATATTTTATACCTTGACAAAAACTTGAGTAGCACGAGCAAGTGCATTGTCAGCAAGCTCCATACTTCCACTAACTTCCATACACAATACATACCGAATCCAGTATTCAGGATAATTGGCACAAGCCACTAGACATCTTTCATATAGCTTGACAACCTGCTCTGACAGATAACACAAAGATTGATAAATCCAATTCAAGGTTAAATGAAATAAAAAGAAAATAAAAAACACGAAATTTTACTAAGGAGAAATGCACAAAGAATACTCCATTGGCGGAACAGGGAGGCCCCTCAAATACGAGAGGAGGGACCCTCCTTGCCTGACAGACAGATGGTTAGGAAGACAAGTACTGACCTGCATGTATAACATTGGAACTTTAAAACAAATATTTTGCCATACAACATATCATGAACCGAGAACGTCGACTCAAATGAGAGTTTGAAGTACTTAGCCTTATAGAAAGCAACGTCCCTGCTTTAGTCCAAGTTCAATATCCCGTTTTAAAAGATGCTTCATCCAACGGTTTAGCCAATAAAGCATATGAGCGGCAGAAATTACTTAACTGTAAGTCAATGTATAACAAGCACAACTAAAGCTACAAACCAAGATAAGCTCGAATGTGTCTGGAATATACAAACCAAAATACCTTACTGAAGTCATCTCCACCTTCAATAAAATCAAGATAGTTATGCCAATTTTCAAGCTCTGCAACATTGAGGGGGCGCACATGAAAATAAGGCCTTCTGATAGCTGTTTCAAATCCAATGATCTTAGAATCGAACTCTTTAGCTTTCTTATATAATTCTTCTCTAATGGCGATATACTTCTCCAACTCCTCAGCATCTTTTAAGCTTGCACTTACAGGCTTAGAAGTCTGTTCTGCACCATTTGCAGGATCTTCTCCTTCAGCATTTTGATCATCAGCTTCTGAATTTGCAGCAGCAACTTCCTCAGGAGTTCGCAACTCTGATAGAGGCCGACTGGCTACTAACTCCTTAAATCTGTAACAATATGTGACAAACTAAAATGATGTATCTAAAATGAGAAGACATATAAACAAGATAACGGTTTAAAGAAACTAATACCAATTAGATGTATACTACGCAAATAATAAATCATTCAACTAAAGCAGTCTGTTCTAGGAGAAGATAAAAGCATAACTAGATGGTTGAGTAGTGGCCAAGACATGCAATGAGTGGTCACTCTTCAATAACAACAAAAATGGAGGATTTACACCTTTCCCTCAACCCGTTTCTCCCTTTCTTCTTCTGGGTCAGCGAGACAAAAACTTAAATGTAGGAATACAACAAAGGGAAACAAAACCGAAAAATTTTCTTCAGAACATTTGCAGTTGCAGATATAGTGAGATGGACTTCTTAAATTTTTGTCTTTAAACAATGAACAACTGAATAGACTGACAGAGAAGTGTTATAAGGTCAATGCCCATCCTAGAACTGGAATCACAGCACATAGCAACAAATTCCTCGTTCATCAGAACAATAATATGGGTTAAGTAAGGAAATACCAGTGGCATATCCAACAGAGTTCAAATCAGACTACCAAAGATACCGACCTACTCTTGCTAGAAATGTATAGTTAAAAGTGGCATGAGACAATATAAATTGCTGCCTCCAAGGCATACATGCAGACTGGAATAAAAAGATGAATTGAGAAGCAAATCATTTTCCCTCAAACCGCAACCACCACAGCCAGTAGGATATTTGAAAAGCAGGAAAAAAGGGAAGCACGATCATCAATGAAAATTTTGACAATTAAGCCAGAAAATTACCCTTCAAAATAGCGATCTAGTTGCTGATTCGGGATCTCCAATAACCGTGTGTAAATTTTGGCAACACATGGCCAATCTTGCTGAGAAATTTCATACTCGATGTATTTATCCCAAAGTGGAAAGCACTGGTAATCAGTTCCAACATAAGCTAATCCTCTTTCAAATAGCCTGAAAAACAGCCAGATTAACGATTATGAAATCCAATAGGCATGCAGGTCATTCAGTCATGTATAAATGCATACAAGAGGACTAGTATCTCAAAGATAGACTCAAACAATTCCAAACAAAGGCACAAATACACTGCATTTACCTTCCTCAACATAATCTTACAGAATCCTTCAAGGGAATCATACAGACCATCTTAGCCTTAATGGTAACATCTTCTCAGCAGCCATCGTATATTGATGCACCTCAGGTGCCATGGTTAAAAAGGCAAAACTTCATGAAAAATTACACGAATAACAACATAACCCTAAGTACAACTGAAGGGGTGATGAGGCCGTGTATAAACCCAGATGGCTACTAATATAGTAGCACCAAAACCAAGGTTTTCACATCATACAACTATCTGTCTGAAATGAATTCTGTAACAAACCTTTTCGCCTTATATGTCAGTAATCACTGTTGTTAAATGTTTAATTGCGTTAGAAAGAAACATAAGATCACTTCAACGCTATTAAAATAAAGAAATAGAGGACAAACACACACACAAAGGCCAAAAATAAGAAAACAAAAAGGAGAATTACCTTCTGATAGTGTCAGGATCCCCATAGGTACTAATGGCAAATATACAGTAGTGCAACCACATGTCAACAGAGTATGTAACTCCTTGAACAGCTCTTTCATAAACCTCGGCAACTTTGTCGACCGAGCTGAGGCGTGCCTCATGATCAGCAAATTTCTTCCAATAACCATAACATAATGGAAATTCAGCTAAAAATGCATCATAAACTTTTCGAATCTTCAAAATGTTTGCCTGCAAATTGGAGAGAGGTAAGTCATTTTCCAAACAGGAGTCATTAATAAATTCATGCAGATCAAATGCAATTAAAAGCTAACTGACAAAACAGTTATAACAAGTAGCATGTATTCAAAGTAAATTCTACATCTAAAAGTTTTTATCACACAACTGCAAGAATGCCAAGGCATCAAGCTGTAGACATGACATTTGAAATAGAGAACCACCAAAACGAACATCATGACAAGCCAATTTTCATTCTATCCAGCTTACCTCAGACGTTCTCTCCGTTTCTTCTATCAGGGAAGTCCATGCATTAAAATCCAGTGAATTAGCAGTCACTATGCTCCACAATTTTTGTTCTTCTGCAGTTAGAGCTTCGACAAATGGTTCAAAGAAATCAAATTAGAAGACATATAAAAATATGACCCCATGAAAAGAACTGAACCGAAAAAGGATGAAAAGTATATTGAAGATAGACGTTTGTGGCCTTGGTACATATGAATAGAGCAGAACATGGAAATTTCGAGGGCAAAATCTAATTTAGTATCATTTTTCAAGATCCTTGAACACCTAATCTTCATGAGCTTTATTGGAACATCCCTCTAATTTCTTCAATGCTCAACAGTATAGGAAAGTTCTAATTACCAGCAATGATTTGTGAAATTTATTTGTTTGTAATTGGGTGTATACATGCACTAGCAATACGTATGTAAGAATTAGATGACAATGTGTGTGAACATGTCATGAAAGTACATAAAAATGCAACATGTGGAGCAATATACACTAACCTCATTGCAAATCCTTTCCATATAATAAGAACTGAATTCTCTAATATTTATTCACTTCCATGAAAATTTTAAACCCATATGATCTTCATATCATAAATTTAAAATACAATAACGCATATTTAAACCAATAGTTTTATATCAAATTTGAATGTTCCTTCAAAGATGGTATTGTATGAAAATTGTTAGTTACAGTTCTAAGTTTTGATTATGCATAGAAAGTTTGTGCATACAGTTCATCAGATGAATGTCTTATAGTGGTATAAATTAGTACCAGAATCATCCACTGGTTGATGCAGAGCAGCAGATTCAATAACCCCAGGATGAGAAATCCCATTTTCAGTGATAGCAACTGCTGTGACATTTCCTGTTTCAATGATGCTATTGCCATTTAGAGAAGACTCATAAGCACCAGACTGAGATGGATCCACGGATAGATTAGTATCATACGCCATGACGTTGGGGATTTCTTGCTGGGCATAGTTTACAACTGCCACATCACCAGCATTTGTATTTGACGCATAAGCTGCTGAATCAGGTTCACTGATAGAAACATCTGAATTAACTAAGTCTACTGCTGTAGACAACATGGTGGGTGCAGCTAGATCTCCACTGGTTTCAATAGCAGAAGCATCAGTGTCAGAAGCAGCCTTCATGCTAGCATCATTATAATCTACTGCAGAATGATCAGAAGCAATAGATGTTTGTGCCACCAAAGTCTCACTATCTCCCATGATGACAGATAAAAATGATTGTGCGCCTAGAACAAGCTGAAAGACGAGAAACGATCATAATGATTACTGGGAAGATATGTGAACTCAGAACATATGTGAGTACGTGATTTTTAAGCTACAGGGGATACCAGGAGAAATTCTCTAGTAGAATCTCTATAACAAAAGGTTCACAAATGAAATCGATAAGGACACTAACTTTCACGCGCTGTGACATTGAAAGTAAATTTGTTCAGAAAGAGATCTCAATCGTTAAGTACTGAATATTTTCATTCAATAGCACCCCAAAACCCAGAAAATAGCAATAGCTTATTATTAACACATCAAAAATTGCCTTTTCCTCACAGATAATTTATTACAGTAAATGCGCACGACAATTGTATGAGAAATATTTGACGCACCGAGGCAAACGGTAAATCATAAACAAACACGTCAAAACCTCAAGAGAGATATTTTCGAGAAATCTCTGTTGCGTTATGAAGATTACCATCAAGAAACAACAATTTTGGAGAAAAAATTAAACTCAAGGAGCTAAAAAAGATGAGAATCACAGATCGAGGTTGTGCTGAAATTAAATCATTCACAAAAATAAAATCAAGTGCAAAATCAACATATAAACCCCGTTTTTTACACAAATAAACCTGATACTACCTTCCAGGTTTGGTAACGAAGAAGTTGAGTACAAATCTCCGCAACACGATTTCGTGCAACCCTTAGCCGCTCCGGCTGCTGTATCAGCAAGACTTAAAACAGGCCTGGGCTATATAATAGGATATGTTCTTATCAATTGCATCGAGAGATGGGCTTTTAATTGGGTTTTATATGGGCTTATAAGTTAATCAATTTGATAAAAAATCAAAACTCAGGTATATAATTTACACCAATTCAAAAATCTACTGTATAGTTTAAAAATTCAAAATTTAAGTATATATATATAATTAATTAAATTTATTTATTAAAAAAATATAATAAAGTAAGAGTTATATAATTATTAGTCACATATTCATAATTATAGGTCACGATTTATTTATTGATAACATATTATCAAATTAAATAGTCACAGATTATTTCGAGATCACAAATCAAAAATTTTATAGGTCACAGTTTATTTCGAGGTCACGAATAAAAAATTTTATAGATCACAATTTATCTATCGATCACAAATTATATTTCAATCACAATTATCAAAATTTGATGTCACGGTTTAATATTTGGTTACAGATAACCAAATAATTGGTTACACACACCAAATATTGGATCACATACCATTGCCACTAACACTATCGCCACTGTCACTTATGACCATCTTCACCCTGTGATCATCGCCGGCACCACAACACCATCGTCACCGCACCACCAACGCAAATCGCCACCACTACCGTAAACCTCCACCCCCGCTGCCGCCACCACCAGAACACAAAAATTAACGCCAAATCCACCATCACTACCACCACCACCACCTCACTATCACCGCCGACGGCTCCACGACCACATCAACAACGATGTACAGTTTTAAACCGTCATGCCCCATAAAATCAGCTACTGCATCATGGTCCAACCACCTACCGGCTCTATCTCCAATCATCCACCCGCCACCACCTACTAATACTACCCCACAACAGCCATCGCCCCACCAACAAATCATCAAGTCTGCCACCTGACAAACACCATCCCACGCCCACACAAAATACCATCCAACAATTAAAAAAAAAAAACTGAGCCTTACCACCGTCCATACCCACGACCACCATCACAATTCTCAAACCATCAACGACCACTCTATAACCACCATCGCCGCACCAATACCACGACTAACAACCACCATTCACAAAACTGAAAATAAACAAAACACCAACAACAAAACTTTGGCTAAGTTGATCGAATCGGATGAGGAAGAAATCACCCCAAAAAACCCCCCTAGACCCTCTCCCTATACCAACACCAGCCACATACCGTGCCTGAGTTAGGCAATGCATTTGCAAACTGTAACCCCGACATTACCATTTGCAGCAGTGCTAACCTTCAACGCCGAGTGCAAAATGGTAGCATTGGGGCATCCTACTACGAACGACAACGCCTAAATTAATAGGAGTGCCTCGACTCTACTCACCGATGATGAAAGACAATAGACAGGGATTCGGTGTTTGAAGAGATCTCCAGCTGAGACTTGTGGTATGTGAGGGACCGTGTGGGTACGGTGGAATGGGGAAATTTATTTGGGTTTGGGATTTGGATGGGGTATGTTTGTTGGTTGGATAATTGCCATTTATATTTTAAATTAAAAAATCATAACCTGATTTTTGAAGAAAAATGATTATAATCTTATTTTTGAAGATGAAAATTTAAAAACAGGGGTGGATATAATTTCCACTTGGGGAAATCGGGCCCGACATTACAGTTGGACTCGTGGAAATACGGCTCTTTTAAAATAATTCCAAGGAAAAAATTCATAATTACAATAAGAATACAATTTTTAAAATGACAAAACTTTCAAAAAATCAAATGATGTGATTTTGACATGTTTTGATAAATTATTGTGACCTATAAATTGTGTTATTGTGACTTATGTCTAATTATAACTTAATATACATGACATGTTTTTTACATTCATATGACTACTTGATCTTTGAAAGAAAAATTAATGAGTGATTCGTGAAATTAAAACTTGAAAAACATTGTTTCAAGTAATTTTCTCTTCCAACAATACACAAATGCATATTCCCCACTCTAAAACTAGAATCTCATTCATTTCTTTTACTTCCGACTTCACTATTCTACCTCTTCTTCTTCTATCATCGTCGTTGCCGTCAATCCACAACGAAAGAGTCCAATGAGTCCAATAGGTGCTTTTATAGTTATTTATATGTATTGTTCCATTCCCAATCGTTTCTCATGCTTCGAGCTTCACTGTTCCCCCTCTTCTTCTGTCATCAATGTTGATGCATCCAACCCACCACGAAGAAATCAAATAGTCCAGTTGTGATGCTTCTAGGTGCTTTTATGGTTATTTATATGTATTATTCCTCACGAAGAACAAGAACACAAAAACTTACATGGAAATTAGCCTTTTTCCATGTTGGTTGATTCAACAAATTACTGTGAATTTAGCTCATTCTCTAGATTGATCTTTTCAACTTCTTGTAGTTTAATGTTGATATGAAGCAAACATATTCATTAGTTATCTTTTAATCTGCAAATCCATGATCATGTCACTGACTTGAAAAAAGAAGCTCAATGCCTTGGGAATGATTCTATGAAATAGGCTTCTCTCTTGAAGAAGAAACTTGAAGAAATAAGAAATTTTCTAGAACTATACAAAGTGAAAAGCAAATTTTCTCCCCTTTACAATCCCACCACGAACTGCTATTGTTCTTTACAGTTCAATTTCTCTAAAGCCCACCTCGAAATCTAGAATTTTGTCCCATAAAACCACAATCTATCCCAGTTGCCTGCCAAAAATATAAGAAGAGTAAATTAGAATGCAAAAGCTACACTTACACTCGGCTTAGTACGACGAGTAGTTGCTATCTAGCAAAAAGATGAGGACTACTTGAGATCTTGAGCATCTTTGGAGGATTTCATAATCTAGATTGAAGTCTTACGTGGAAATTTTTTAAAGAGAAGTCCATGCATTTATATATGGTCCAAACACAAACCCACATATTTCTGTCAATACGAAATGAGTTCAACCTTTTCTTGGCAAATTGAACATCAATATCGACAGAAAAAACCAAGGATCTTTGTTTGATAGTCGTAGGTATTATTCCCCCCATTCTCTTCTAGAGCGAGATAAGAGATGATAGCCAACAGGAAATAGGATTGTTTTTTCCTTAGAAGTTATTTCAAATGATTCATCTATCTAATCGATGAATCATAAGAAGACAATTCGTGATTCATATGTTCAATAAGAAAGAATAATCAAATTGTCTGGAGGTTCGAATCCCCGCGACAATTGGAAGGCAACATTTATGTTAGAAAGCAGTTGTCTTGTGGAGACAAAGTTATGATGCGATTTGTCGCCCTCCCGGGTATCTTGTCCGCACGTCGTAAAGGAAGGTCTACAGGAAGGAGAATTGCATTCCGAATATCTGTCCCAACTGTGTATAAGTTATGATCGCATCATAATTTACCTAGGTGGCAAATCAGGGGGGCCACCACTATAATCAAATCGAGTGTATCTAGATAGTAAGCTAGCTATCTATGTGCAAGCTCTAGGTTCAAGTCCTAATCCCAGTGTACGTGAGATTCTTAGAAAAAGAAAGATACATATAGCGGTTATTTGAATCCCATTATTTTTGAAAAATGTATTTTGGAATAGTAGATAGATAGAAGATATGTAGTTAAAAAAGAAAATAAATTTCAGGTAATTGAATTGCCTAGAAGTTATTTATATGGAAATCGTCAATTAAATGTGTTTGATTGATTTAATTTTCAACTTAGGGTCCATTTGATTGCAAAGATGGAATTGAAAACGAATTATAGGGAATTGAATTGTCAAGAAATTATTTTTCTGAGAATTGTAAATTATTGTGTTTGATTGGTATAATTTTTCAAGTGGAAAATATTAAAATAAAAATATTTTTTTGTGTTCATTTGACTTTAATTTACATGAAAATTATCAATTAAAGGGATAAATTTGACTGATATTGGGAATGAAATTTGTTTCCATTGCCAACCAAAAAAATCAAGAAAATCCTCTATCTTTTGGTGTCCATTTGACTTTGTTTTATATGAAAATTATCAATTAAAGTGAAATATTTTTTTACAATAATTCTTAGAATTTGTTTCCATTGTAAAAAAAAAATAAAAAAAAATCCATAAACAGTAGGTTGGAAAATCAAGAAAATACAATTTTCCAAGACAAGGAAGAAAATGGAATTCCATGAAAATTAAAACGTATCAAACACACAAAATTGGAAAAAAGGTGGAATTCAAATTTCATTTTCCATGGAATTCAAACCAATCAAACAGGCCATTAAAAAATATTATATTTATCCATTTTTTATTGATGGGTATATGAGAAAGAATTGATAGATATGAGAGAGAAAGAGAGAATGAATTTCCCGAAAATTGAAATCCTACTCCCCCAAAAGAAAATATTTTCTTCAATTTTGATGAAAATATGATCACGTGATCAAAATTATGAAAACATTTTTCATGAAAATGTCAATCAAATAGCACAAAATAGGAATTTGAATGAAAAAATCACATTTTCAATGAAAAATATTGACAATCAAACGTATCCTAAGTGTAGATTTGTTATTTTTACGAAGGTTGAGAACGAAAAATTTAAATTTTCTTTTAAAAAAATAAAAATAAAAAAGAGAAATGGAATTAGTCATTATGAAATCGGCCGCTGGGCCAAAAGTTTCCAAACAAGCCCTTAACTTTCACGGCCCATGTCCAAAACATCCTTAAAACTCAACAAAACCCTAGCTCCTCCTCAGGACCTCATCGATCTAACCAAACCCTAGAGTAAGAGAAAAATCGGCAGAAATGTCGAAGCGAGGTACAATCTTCTTTCAATTTTCGAATCATTTATGCAAACAAATGTTTTTTACTAACATTTTCGTTAAAATGATTTCGTATAGGACGTGGAGGATCGGCGGGGAACAAGTTCAGGATGTCGCTGGGTCTGCCAGTGGCGGCGACGGTTAATTGCGCTGACAATACCGGAGCGAAGAATCTGTACATCATTTCGGTGAAGGGGATTAAGGGGCGTCTCAATCGCCTGCCATCTGCTTGTGTTGGAGATATGGTGATGGCTACCGTTAAGAAGGGAAAGCCCGATCTGCGTAAGAAGGTCATGCCAGCTGTCATCGTACGGCAGCGCAAGCCATGGCGCCGAAAGGATGGCGTCTTCATGTACTTCGAAGGTATATTTACTCATTTCTCTGTTTACACTTGTCAATATATGTACAACTATCGTATCCTTCATCAAGTTTCGTTTAAATAATATACAGTTAATGACAGGCTAAACTGATATTGATAGGATTTATGTTTATTGAATGAATGTGAGTTTAACCAGCTCAAACAGTGGATGTTTTCAATTTGTTTTAGTTTTTGTTGATATATACTTGCAATTGTTGCATAAAATGACTGTGATCGCAAATACATGTTGCTTTTACTCTCTGGTAGAGTGTGCAAACATGGAAGCAAACGGGACAATCACATTCTGCACTCATTCACTCTCTGCAATTAGAAAAAATTGGGTTTTTGATCTATTTTGCACGTTATTTTCTAACACGGAAGCAAATTGGACAATCACATATTGCTTTTATTTGTATGTTAAACTTTATACCCTATGGTGATTAAGCATTTATGTGTTGATGTACTGTACATTGCAGATCCACATTTCTATTATCTGGAATTTGAAAAAAATTGCTAGGTTTTCTAAAACCATGATTTTACTTGAAGCTGCTACCCTTTTTGTGTATCAACTGTTATGTGACTTGCCTTTCTACAACAAGAGTTATGTTCTTTGTGTGTGGAAGAAATTGAACTTTTTCTTCATCAGATGGTGGTAATATTATTATTATTATTATTTTCCGATTTCCTTTCCCTTATGAAATTATGAAACTTGTTCCTAATCGTTGTTATCTGATCTGCAGATAATGCTGGGGTTATCGTGAATCCCAAGGGTGAGATGAAAGGTAATATTCAAGTTTCAACAATAGATAGTAAATTTCTGTATTTATTTCTTTCCGAAGGCATGTTGTGCATCTGAAATTTGTGTTTTTGCCGACGTTCCTTGTCATTCTTTTGGTCACTACTTTGTTCGTAGGTTCTGCCATCACTGGTCCAATTGGAAAGGAGTGCGCTGATCTTTGGCCTCGGATTGCAAGTGCTGCCAATGCCATTGTTTAGATGTAGAAGTTTGAAGTGGTCGGGAATTTTTGTTTTTCGAGTTCTTTTGAAGTCTTTAAGGTCTGATGTTAGAAATTTATGTGACACCTATACTAAACAAGTTGCCATTTTTGTGGAAAGTCAGATTCTTTACCGGTTTTCTGATTTCTATGGTTGTTTTTTAGTTCAATTAATATGGATTATTGCCTATATGATTGTAGCAAAGTTGTGCCATGTATGTGTTAATTGTAGATGTGTCAGCTCTCGGGCTATTCCTGTTGACTCTTCATGGTGGTACTTGCAATTCGCTTGGGAGTATGTTGAATTTGTGTAGTTTGTGTGGGTCGGTATTGCTTTTAAACAGTGACCTGACGCTTTGAGTGGGTTGTGTTTTAAAGCTACGGTAAATGGTTGGCATTTGATTCATTCAACGTTTTTCTGTCGTTTGGTATATTTTCAGTGACTCTGTGACCCCTATGGTTTGTGCTTCTAATCCGTTTGAGTAACTATATTCTCTTCTTTTACAATGACCATTGTGGATCGATATGCATCTGAATTTCCAAAAGTAGCCCGTTCCTCTTAAAGAAGCTGGGATCAATGTGCAACTCGGGTAATGAAGCAAGAAACAGATATGTTACCAAAAATAGATGCATGAAACTTGGTCGAAATAAAAGATGTTCATAGATCAAAGAAAATAATGATGAATGGCTCGTTTAGCAGGGTATTTGTTACTCGTAGAAGAATTTTATGCTGAAGTTACTTAAGGTTGCTTTCTTTGGTTAGATAACGCATTTCAAGAAAATTATTCAAATATGTTTAATATTTTTTTAGTCTCAAAAGCAGCATTTGCCTTTTAAAAGGACTTGCCAAAATGGTCCGAAGCTCAAAGAACAACAATGTTACGGCAAAAGAAATTTTATATGGTGTGGATAATGGTTATATGTACAGTTAGTTTGACAGAAACTTTGACTAATAAAAAAAGAAGGAAAAAATAATTTCTGCCAAGCTATTGTTTCATTTTCTGTCAAATTATTATTGTTATTTTTATCTGTCAAAGCATATGTTAAATTGACTGTACAAATAGCAAAATTTTTTTATTAATCGTTCCTGGATATGTACTAATTAGTAATTAAAATGGACATCTTGATCTTGTTTGTGTGGTGCTTGAATTCATGGCTTTTGTCGGTGGATTTCTAATTGAGTCAATTAGGTGACTTAATGAGTAAAAGTAGGTTTGATGTTTTCTACTCTTCTTTTCCTTGTTGAGGAACTCATTGCTTCATGCCTTCATCCTTGTTTGTTACTTGTCCATATAAGAAAAAGGAAAAGAAAGGACAAAACAGAATACCCAAGAAAAAGTAGATATATTCTCTTTATTATTTTAAAACAACTCTGGTATGTTGAATTGCACATAATTATAATTAATGGAATTCAATTAAATTCATTTTTGTACTCTATAGTGTTGTCAAGCAATGTGCACCAAATATGAAATTTGCGTTTGTGGACTGTGGGACACGAAAAAAGAATTTATTTTTGCAATTCTCAACTCTATTGGATGGAGTTGGAGGCTTTTCAAGAAGGTATTTTTAGATGTAGAGAATATGATATAAGAAAGCAAAGCATCTTTTTAGAATCTATATGCACAAAAATAAGTTATCACAACCCCATTGATGTTACAGCACAAGGATAAGTTTCTATCATATCTTCAGAAGAGGACCATAATCAGGCCCCACTGGCAAATTGACAGATTTATCTTGGAACACTTCACCACTTGTAGTGGAGGTGAAATTACACCCAAAAAGGATTCTTGATCCCGATAAATTTGAGGTGACTACATGAATAATTTTTAGGACCTTGTTACATGAACCTAATGGGCTACATCGAGGGCTATATAATGGACACGTGACATCTCGGCATTGGCTGAGGCGCCTGCTGCACCTCGGGCCCACAAGCGAGGCGCCAAGTGTCCATCATGTAGCCTATTAAGTCATCTAGCATTTTCCTAATTTTTATTACAAGATTCACGCGCGAGGCGCCAAATATCCTTTATGTAGCCCCTTTTGTAGCCCATTATGTTCATCTAGCATTTCCTAATTTTTATTACAGGATTGACGCATTGTCTTGGATCAAAAGGCTTTACCATGCTTAATAGACATGTAAATTACATCCAGCAACAAAAGTCTTATTCTCGGTAAATTTGAGTCAACTACATGAATACTTTTTGGTCAAGTGAAAGTTACGTCCAATAGAATATCATCACTTTCACAAGGCATCTCCCACGTGTTTTCATGTATTAAATTGCCAAAACTCTTTCTTCTGCAGCTATTCAGTATATGGTCCTTGTTGCTTCAACCATGAAATTTTCTCATCTTGGAAGCTTGAAGGATAAAATCCTGAAATTGAGAAGGAAAATTATGTGCAGTTGTTCTGCACTTAGATTGATTACTATTAAAAAAAGATTGCAGGAAAATTGTTGCCATGTATCATGTTCTGCAAGATTGTTGATTTGGAGGTTCAATTCACAATGGAAACAACTTCTGAGGAGGAAAAGCAACACTATACGATACAATTACGATGCTCAAAGCTACTCTCAAAACTTCGACGAAGGTCGCTCTGATGACAACCCTTCGCCCTTAGCTCCCCGGTGATTCTGATCTTAGTTATGTCCAGTGCACATTTGGTCTGCTGGACTTGAAATGTTGGATATGATAAAGAAAGAGGGTGATACTAGGTGCTAAATGTGTCCTAAATAGTTTTGATCCATGAAGGCATTAAGAAAGCTTGTTTTTTGTCTATTTGGGATACTTTATCTCTAGAATTCCTTAAGATCAAGGTTAATAGTTCTAAATAAAACTTATATTAGCTAGAAAAAGTAGCTTAGATGCTAATATATTTCAAGTTATTTATTTGAATTTGGATCATAAATAGAAAATTTTCCAGATCCCACCGACCATTTGATGAATGTTTAGAGCCCTTCTCGTCTTGTTTTTGTTTGAACTTCTTCTCATGTTGATATGCCATATCTCATCAGATCAAGAAATCAGCAACTCGGCTTGAGAATATATTAACTTTGCTTAGAACATTATAGATTATGCTGATAATTTTTGTACTGTGTCTTTTTTTCTTTGATTTATACTATGATGGTTCTGTATTGTTGACATGTTTGATATGTTGAACTAGACGGTAAACAAAGAATTAAAATCTTCTTGGTTATATATTGATTTCTGTCAAGTACTGTGTATCAAACATGCCTAAATGTGCTCGTTAGTGGTTGGTTAAGAATCAAATGTTTGTCTTGGAAAAATCATCCCAATTGTTTGATGACACTAGAAGGAATGTTTACTAAATTAGTTATTGTTTCATTTGAAAAGGAAGGTGTGATATAGCGTTTTATGGTTTTGTAGCAAAGTTCTTTGACTATTATTAAGATGTTTTAATGTATAAAATAAGCTGAACAAATCATATTTTTCGTAGTGTTTTTATGGTTTCGTAGCGAAGTCCTTGAGCTCGCTGTATCCCGAACACCATGTCCCGGTCCATATTGAGGATAGCCTTCTGCACCGGCAGTTGCTTAGAACAGGACAATAAGAAGTTATGATCAGTTGAATGCAATTATATAAACACAAAAAGAATCTGCAAAGAGAGATCTCTATTTTTGTGCACATTTTCTAATGACAAAACGGAATAAAATTAAACTTCAAGAAAGCATAGAACTAGTGGGATTAATGCCATAACCAACAGGACAAAGATTTCTGGTATAACATGATCCAGAAGTTGCACTTTTTCCACTGTAATTCACATCAGCAGGTCTCAAGTGAAGTTTGCAATTGAACAGCGATGGTTCTCAAGTAAGAATGAAATGGCATCGTCTGAAGCAATTGCATGTTGGATTGTTTTCATATTAAACAAAAAATATGTAAAAACAAAATGAAAAGACAAACAGATCCTTTAAGGAGGGAAGTCTAAGTTGTAATTGTTAGACAGCAACCTTCCATTCCTGTTCCCAATTCTCATAAAAGTACCAGCAATGTTGATTGATATTAGCAATGATGAAGGCTCCAAATCTGCCATATATCCAGCATAGCAATAGGATTATCTGTAGGAATTATTTACTGTAATTTTGCTACATTAGAGGATGTGAATGTTTCAAATATGTAAATATTGCTCCTATAAATACGTAGTAAACATATGGCTTTGGTATGATTTACCAAGCCCTTCTTATCATTTCTTTCATGGTATCAGATCCATATTTGGCTAACGTCTAATCCTACCTACAATAATGTCTTCCGCTACTACCTTCATTCCACCTAACAATCTTGTTCAGTTTGTCTCGGTGAGACTTGATGGACCATCATCTTATTTAAACTGGTCTTCCCCAGTCGAAGGTGCCCTTGATATCCATGGTCTTCTGGGTTTTGTGGATGGTACTGAACCATGCCCAGAAGAGTTCCTACCTGTTGTAGGGACTGCTGCTCCTGTTTCTAATCCGGAGTTTATCATATGGAACAAAAAAAATCGATTTGTATTAGTGTGGATGAAGTCCACGATCTCAGAGAAGATACTGTCCTTAGTCTATGGTCTCAAATCTGCTCGGCAAGCATGGCTTGCTGTGGCAAATCGTTATGCTTCTTCCTCATCCTCAAATGTGAATCAACTCAAACGTCAACTGCAAAGTCTACAGCAAGGAGGCAAAAGTTGTTCTGATTTTGTTGAAGGTGCTAAAGTTCTTGCAGACCAATTAGCCGCTGTGGGAAAATCCATGACTGATGAGGACTTAATCTCTCATATTCTGGGAGGACTCAACTCATCATTCACTCCCTTCATATCCAATGTCTATTTTGCACAACGTGAGAAGTCGATTACATTAAATGATTTCCACTCTGAATTAATTGCTTTTGAAGCCTTGCTTGAAAATCAGCAGAGAAATTTGCACAATGATCACAACAACTTTGCTATGATGGCTAACAAGTTTGGAGGAGGAAAGAACCCAAAGAAAAATAGCAGGAATTGGCAACAAGCTCATCCTAATACGACTCCTACTCTGGCAAAGAAGTTCCCTCAAGCTGCCAATCATATTCCAAATCAAATTCCTGCTTGGGCAAACGTACCTGACTTTGACCCTTATGCTTGTCAAATTTGTAAGAAAAAGAGTCATATGGCACTTGACTGTTTCCACCGCTATGACTACAATTACCAGGGACGTCATCCTCCTCAACAACTAGCAGCTATGGCTGCTCATTCCAATTCTATTCTTGAGGACAACACATGGTATGTAGACAGTGGCGCTAATCAACATATCACAACAGATCTCTCAAACC